GGCACAGAGGTTTGGCGCCTGCCTTTGGCCTAGGGTGCGATCCTGGAGACCCGGGATCGAGTCCCACGTCAGGCTCCCAGTGCATGGAGCCTGCTTCTCCCTCTGCCTATGTCTCTGCCTCTCTCTCTCTCTCTCTCTCTCTCTCTGTGTGTGTGTGACTATCATAAATAAATAAATAAAATAATAATAAAAAAATAATAAAAACTTTAAATAAAAAACAAAACAAAACAATCAAATGGTTTTCTTGCCTGGTCACCATATATCCTGCGTACCTCTGACCTCTCAGTGGGCCAGTGAAGAGCAAATGCCAGTGCTTCTGCTGCAGTGTTTTTGACCTTCACACAGACCTACTAAAGGTTGATGAAAGAAACAGACCCTTCTGCAGAAAAATGCACCTGTACACACACACACACACACAATTTGTTTGCATATAATCTCAAGGGATGTACAGCCCTCCTTAAGCTTATTTGTTATCATCCAGAGGCCTAAAAACCCTAGGGTAAGATCCCTTGCTCACTCAGAAAGAGCTAATTATTTTTTATATCTATGAAAGAGCTCTTATAAAACACTTAAAAAAAAGATAAACAAACCTGTAGAAAAAGATACAAATCACACAAAGAAATAATTCACAGAATACAAATGACCACAAAAAAGAGGTGGAAAAATGCTCCCACAAACAAAGAAAAACCTTTTAAAATCATGGTATATCATTTTCACCAGATCAGACTGGTTAATTTTGAAAGGACTAATAACAGCATATGGGGAAGGAGTGTGGAGAAAGGGCCAGTTTTATTCACAGTATAGGATAGAACCTGTGGGGAAAGGCCAGTAATCCCACTTCCAGGAATTTATTTTACAAAAAGGTACAGGGGTGTTCACTCCAGCATCATCAGAAAGACTGGAAAGCAACCCAAGTGCCCATCAGCAGGAACTGGTTAAATAAATTATGGTGTATCTATGGTATAGAACAACATAAAACTATCTCATAATGTAGAGTTCTTGAGTTTAAAATAATAAGGTAGATTTCCAAGTACTGGCAGAAAAACATGTGAAAGAGTTAAGTGAAAAAGACAAGCTGTAACAGCCTTTAAAAAAAAATAAAGAAGAACGTTGATATATGTAGATTTTTTTTAAAATACTGAAGAGATATATTCTAAAGTGATAAAGGTGTGCTTACAGAATTTTATGGTCCATATTCCTAATATATTGACTTTTAAAAATAAAAACATTTTTGGGACAAATGGGTAGCTCAGTGGTTGGCTCAGGTCATGATCCCAGGGTCCTGGGATCGAGTCCTGCTTCAGCCTCCCCACAGAGAGCCTGCTTCTCCCTCTGCCTATGTCTCTGCTCCTCTCTCTGGGTCTCTCATGAATAAATGAATATAATAAATATAAATAAACAAACAAATATTTTTGTTTATGATCACAAAAATTCAGAAAATAAATCCTTTATAAGCCTATTAGCCTCCCTAAATGTTGCCTGATAACAAGTATAAGCTCATTTAAGGGGAATCTGGGTGGCTCAGTGGTTGAGCTTCTGCCATCGGCTCAGGGCATGATCCCAAGGTCCTGGAATCAAGTCCCACATTGGGCTCCCCACAGGGAGACTGCTTCTCCCTCTGCCTGTGTCTCTGCCTCTCTCTCTGTGTGTCTCATGAATAAATAAATAAATAAAAGATTTTTTAAAAACTCATTTTATTTTTACTTATTTATTAAGATTTTATTTATTTATTGGAGAGAGAGAGAGTGAGGGAGAGGAAGAAGTAGACTCACGGCTGAGCAGGGAGCCTGATGCAGCGCTTGATCCCAGGACCCCGAGATCATGACCTGAGTCAAAGGCAGACGCTCAACCAACTGAGCCACCCAGGTACCCCTATAAGTTCATTTTAAAAGCTTTCTTTCCTTTTTTTTTTTAAGTACTCTCTAAATCCAACATGGGGCTTGAACTCACAATCAGAGATCAACAGTCACAAGCTCTACCAGTCAGGCTCTTTCTTTCTTTCTCTCTCTTTTTTTTTTTTTTTTTTTTTTTTTTTATTTACGATAGTCATACAGAGAGAGAGAGAGAGGCAGAGACACAGGCAGAGGGAGAAGCAGGCTCCATGCACCGGGAGCCCGATATGGGATTCGATCCCGGGTCTCCAGGATCGCGCCCTGGGCCAAAGGCAGGCGCCAAACCGCTGCGCCACCCAGGGATCCCTTTCTTTCTCTTTCTTTCTTTCTTTCTTTCTTCTTTCTTTCTTTCTTTCTTTCTTTCTTTCTTTCTTTCTTTTTAAAGATTGTTTGAGTGAGTGTGTACATGCATGTGCTCACGTGAGCAGGAGGAGGGGCAGAGGGAGAGACAGACAGATTCCTGCTCACAACAGCTGGGAAGTGGGAGGCTCGATCCCAGGACCCTGAGATCATGACCTGAGCTGAAATCAAGTGTCAGACGCTTGGGGAGCTTGGGTGGCTCAGTGGTTGAGTGTCTGCCTTCAGCTCAGGTCCTGATCCTGGAGTCCTGGGATTGAGTGCCGCATTGGGCTCCCCACAGGGAGCCTGCTTCTCCCTCTGCCTGTGTCTTTGCCTCTCTCTGTGTGTCTCTCATGAATAAATAAATAAAATCTTAAAAAAAAAAATGTTGGACGTTCAATGGACTGAGCCACCCAGGCACCCCCACAGACATTCTTAAAGGTAATTCACGGTATAGTGGTTTTTATCCATTTGTCTTATGCTTTATTACAATAAAGCATCATTCTGCATCACAGAGCATAAATTCCTGACATTTTTTAACTCAAAATTCAGAACTGCCACAACATAGGCACAATGTGACTAAAAAAATGGGGATGGGCACTTGGGTGGCTCAGTGGTTGAGCATCTGCCTTTGGCTCAGGTCATGATTCCCAGGTCCTGGGATCAAGTCCTGCATCAGGCTCCCTCACACAGAGGCTGCTTCTCCCTCTGCCTATGTCTCTGCCTCTTTCTCTATGTCTCTCATGAATAAATAAATAAAATCTTTTTTAAAAATGGGGATGAGGGCAGCCCTGGTGGCGCAGCGGTTTGGCGCCGCCTGTGGCCTGGGGTGTGATCCTGGAGACCCGGGATCAAGTCCCGCATCGGGCTCCCTGCATGGAGCCTGCTTCTCCCTCTGCCTGTGTCTCTGCCTCTCTCTCTCTCTCTCTCTGTGTGTGTGTCTCTCATGAATAAATAAATACAATCTTAAAAAAAAAAAAAGAATCTCACTTTAAAAATAAATAAATAGGGATCCCTGGGTGGCGCAGCGGTTTGGCGCCTGCCTTTGGCCCAGGGCGCGATCCTGGAGACCCGGGATCGAATCCCACATCGGGCTTCCGGTGCATGGAGCCTGCTTCTCCCTCTGCCTGTGTCTCTGCCTCTCTCTCTCTCTCTCTCTCTCTCTCTCTCTGTGACTATCATAAATAAATAAAAAATAAATAAATAAATAAATAAATAAATAAATAAATAAATAAATAAATAAATAAATAAAAATGGGGATGATGCCAGGTTTTAAATTTTCATTTTGATGAAAGTTGGTCATTTTCATGCTGTCAAAGAACAAATAAAGCCATGACTTTTGTTTCACAATATATATAACTTAGTAGGATTTGTGTACTTTGGATAGTTGTAAAATATTTCTTACAGTTTCAACATCTGTTTTCTCTTGGGAATTTGAGAGGGAGGGGAATACAACTATTTTAAAGAAAATCTACTTGGTTAAAAAAATAGAAATAAAGACACACAAAAAGTACAAAGTAAATCTCCCTCATATCACAGAGGGCAAGGCAATCATAGTTCCCAGAATCTGTGTTTACTCACATCTGTGTGTCACCCACACCTGCACATCACCTACACCCCAAGGATACCACATACACAGCCCATGCTGTGCCTTTCTCACCTAACACAGATTTCCCTGAACTCTCCATTTTTGCAGGCCTCCATCAGACAGTGATCCCTCTCCCCTAGGACAAAGTTAACCAAGCAAGGCATAGGAAGGGTGAACAGAAGAGGCACTAGGTCTGGCCGGGCCTGGCCATGGGCTCACAGCCTTCAGGCACAGAGAGTCATGGAGATGCCAGAACCTCTTGGAGCTCCTTCCCAGAAGACCAACAGCCCAAAGGCTCCCTCAGAGCTGAACGAGTGGCCCCTTAACAGCAGGACTCCTGAGTCATTAGTGGGAAGGGAAATCAGAAACCAGAGTGCCCTGCAAATGGCAATGGCAGGTACTGTGTCATAAAAAGCTTTTCACAGGGAAACTGAGGCAAGCCAAACAGAAATCTCTCTGAAGACCATAGCATTCTCACTTTTTTCCCATTGGCCAGCTCTGAAGGGCCAGCCTGCAGAGAGCTCCCTTCTTCCTCCTAGGGAAGACATTTTTGGCCTTCTCTTTCTTTCTTTCAACCTGGATCTTCCTGCAACCTCTCTCACCTCAAAAAAGCAGCACATTCTGGAGGCACTCAAGCATCCCAAGAAAACATCTCCCTCCCCAGGGTGGCTCTCTGTACCCTGGCATTTAGAAAACCGAGAAGAGAGGCAGCCATACACTCCCCTGAGTTCTGCATTCCATTCTGGACAAAGGCAATGGTTCGGGTGGGGCGATTCTAAGGGAAGGTTGGTTTTAGGTTGCACTGTTAGCCAGAGCTACTGCAGAAAATTAGAGAAAAGAAAAGTGGGTGGCAGCTTTTTTCTCTATGCTCCTGTCTTCTCTGGGCACATGGCTAGTGAGCTGGCTTCCTCAGCACCTAAGCCAAGGTCAGCAGGCAGGGGATGGGCCTGCTCTGAGATCCATGCTCTGCTGCCTTCAGGCCTACCTACAGAACCTCCCCGGCCCAGGAGGCCATGACTGGCTTTGCTGCCGGGCCACTTCATCACCTGCAGCCCTCTCCTGCTTGGGATGTCCAGGCATAGGTAGGTAGATGGAAGGCAAAGAAACCGAAGCCAAAGAAAGCTGCCTCAAATTCGCCAAAAGATGACTGAATGAGAGATCTTTAACAAATCAATACTTACTGTTAATGAGGTGAAAGTCATGCACATCCCACCAAAGCCATTCAGGGCCAGGGAAACGAAGATGAGCACAGAAAGAGCTGTAGGAAACAGAAGGTTCACAATCAGGGAACCACAGCAGAGCTCCAGGGAGGCGAGGGCCTGGCCCAGTACCTCGCAGGGAGCAAGCAGAATGGATGACATGCCATCTGGGGTTAGTGACAGACACCTGAAGAGCTGAAACAGCCTCTTCCTCACCACCCTCTTCTCCCCTATTTTACAGAGCTTAGACTCTGCATCCCCATCCTCCTTTCTCCACTAACCTCAGCAGCAGGCCAGAGGCCTAAAGAAGCTGCTTCACTGAAACCAAAAATACAGGTGCTCAGAAATTAGTGGATGGGCCTGGCTAAGATTCTGGCAAAACTCAAGTTCTATTATGGTGTTTGTTCTGCAAGTCCTTGAAGCAACAGCTCTACCTGAATGGCGTTGGGGACCAGCTGGATTCCAAGTCACTTTTTTTTTTTTTTAAAGTAGGCTCTTGGGTAGCCCTAAACCCACTGGCTCAGTGGTTTAGCGCTATCTTCACTCCAGGGTGTGATCCTGGAGACCTGGGATCGAGTTCCACATTGGGTTCCCTGCATGGAGTCTGCTTTTCCTTCTGCCTGTGTGTCTGCCTCTCTGTCTGTGTCTCTCATGAGCAAATAAGTAAAATCTTAAAGAAAGAAAGAAGAAAGAAAGAAAGAAAGAAAGAAAGAAAGAAAGAAAGAAAGAAAGAAAGAAAGAAAGAAAGAAAAAAAGAAAGAAAGACAGACAAGAAGGCTCTATGCCTGATGTGGGACTTGAACTCCCAACCCAAGATCAGGGTCATATGCTCTTCCAACTGAGCCAGCCAGGTGCCCCAGCTTCTAAGCTATCTGTATAGTGCTGGCCTGGGCTGCCTCCGAGGACTTAACTCCCAACTTCTGCACAACCCCTCAGCTGGTCTGGTTCTTAGAACTCATCTCAAGTTGGCATCAATGAAGCCATAGAGAACTGGCCTGACTTGGTGATGAGATGGCAGTATTGTACATTCTAGGAGCTTCTCTCAGACGTCTGTCTAGGGTGATTGCTGTCTTACCCAGCCACCCATTTAAGGTAAGTAGCTGAGTGAAGGCTAACAGGCATCCCTTCTAACTTAAGCAGTGAGCACCAAGACTGGCATGGCTTTCTAGAGCAGGTGGGCGAGGAAACCCCTCTGGGAACTTTCTCCCCAGCCTCTGACAAAAGAGTAGAGGAAAAGCATACTCACAGTTTGGGTTACTTGCTCCATATGCAATCAGCAAACAGGAGACAGCAAAACAGGCACTAAAACCAAACAGAAATAGTACATTATTTATTATTATTGTTATTGTTTATAGTGTTCTTTGGAAGTATTTACTATGGGTCAGATCCTTTCAGAAAATATACATTCTTTTAATTTAATAATTTTAAGGAGTATAATTGGCTCTGTTTTACTGATGAATAAAATAAAACAAAACAAAGAAAGAAAAAATCCACATTCTCAAAAGTATCAGAGCTAGTTGGTGTCTAAGAATTCAAGGCCCAAAGGCAGATGTGATAAACACCATGTTGCATCATCCTCTCCCATCCACAGACTGGAAAAGCTACGGTTCTGAAGTGAGAGGGTACAATCTATTACCCAGGTTCCTATGTCCACTCTGCCAGGGGAGCAACAGAAGCCCACTGAGCATGAGGGAGAGGAATGGCAGCTTCTGAATCCTCACTGCTTAGCTCTGTCCTAGGGACAAGGGCCTCTTTTTTTACTTTATTTTATTTTATTTTATTTTATTTTATTTATTCGTAAGAGAGAGAAAGGGGGGGAGAGAGAGAGAGGCAGAGACACAGGCAGAGGGAGAAGCAGGCTCCATGCAGGGAGCCCGACGTGGGACTCGATCCTGGGACTCCAGGATCAGGCCCTGGGCTGAAGGCAGCGCTAAACCTCTGAGCCACCTGGGCTGCCAGACAAGGGCCTCTTAAGTTCCAAAGAATGAATGAGATTGATCCCCTCATCCATCCCCTTCATGGTCTCGGGTCTCACCCATTGCAAACCCCTGCCCTGCAGATGATCATTCTCAGTGTGGTTGCTCTGGGGAAGACTGTGGCCTGAAAGGAACAGCACTTGCTGGACTGACTCTGAGTCTGGCAGCCTAGAGCCTGATAGACCGGGGACACATACTTCAGAAATGCACAAGATGATCCATTGGAGTGCTAGGAGTAGCAGAAATAGTAGGACTTCTATTTTATAATTTTTAATCTTTAATTGACATTTTTCGTTCATGCATTATAAAGCACATAGAACATTAAGACTGGCACACACATATGTAATTGACAATTCTGTGCTTGCATGTGCTTGCATGACAATTCTGTGCTTGTATTCAAACTTTTTTTCCTAATGGAGGCATAAGGTGAAAGAAACTGTGGAGACCAGTGTTCTTAATGATAAGCAACTGCAAGCCTTCCCAGGCAGGCTTGGGGCCCTGAACCTTTTTTATGCAGTACTGGCACACTGCAAGGATCACAGTAACTACTGGCTTGGGGGAAGAATGGATGGGAACCCCATTCCAGGTGGGCATATAGAGAGCTCCACAGTGCACCTGCTAGCGGGGACCAGGCTTCCCTACAGTGAGGATCTCAGCCCAGGAGCCATCTGCCCACTCCCGACCCCTGCACTGACCTGCCCAGCAGCCTGAGTTTCCTTGGGCCGTATTTGTCCATGACGATGCCTAGAGGCAGGGTGATGGCACTAAGCAGGAAGGAGCCTACGGTGAAGGCCAAGTTTAGCATCTCATCCTGGGCCTTGCAGCTGAGCCAGCCATTCATCAAGCTCATCTCCTCGTGCTCCGGCTCGGCTGTGCCCCCAACTGTGCCGTTGCTGACCATCTCTGGGTGTAGAGAGGGAGGGAAACTTGGTCACAGGGTTGAGGCAGGGATTCCCAAAGATCAGAGGAGCAGATGTATATTCAGACCCCACTGGAAATGTCAGGGCTGGTTGTGGCTACCCCAAGCAGGCTTGGCTATCCATCTGGCTCAAGCCCCTTGGAGCAATAATGTAGAGGCTCTTGTCTTTGGTTGGGAGTTCGCAAACCCTCTGGAAAATCCAGTAAAGGAAGCTATGCTCCTCCTCAGAAGACGCACACAAAGGCTTGCCCACAGTTTCAGGGGTTTCACACATCCCTTGAAGCAGGCATGAGCCCCAGGTTGGGATTCCCATTCTAGAGTAACACACCTGAGTAGGCCTCAGGCCCCAGGCTGGCCAAAAACTTCTCAGCAGCTCTGGCATGGAAACAGGCTGCAGCCAGTCTATCAGTGCTCAATCCTAGACCACCTGGGAAGGACAAGCTGCTGGCGTCCCAGCAATGCCCTGGTTCTCCTCGGTCCATGAAGGGGAATCATGAGCAGGCCTCCTGTACTGCTAAGTATGGGAATCTGCCATCTTCACCCTGCTTATTTTCACAGCATCAACCACCACAGATAATGTGCCATGGAACCCCTTGGAGAAGTTTTTTAAAAATAGTCTCAAGTCGTGCAGCCCCAGGGGCGCGGTGGTTTAGCGCCGCCTGCAGCCCAGGGTTTGATCCTGTGGACCCTGGATTGAATCCCATGTCAGGCTCCCTGCATGGAGCCTGCTTCTCCCTCTGCCTGTGCCTCTGCCCCTCTATCTCTCTCTGTGTGTCTCTATGAATAAATAAATAAAATCTAAAAAAAAAAAAATAGTCTCAAGTCATTTGCTTTCACTTGTTGAGGTCCATGTTTTGTATTTTTCTGGCTGGGGTCAAGTGCTGCTGTCCTATCTGGCCACACCTGTGCTGCCTGCAACCTCAGCTCTAATCACCCCTCCAAAGTCCACCGGGCACCAAGACAACAAAAAAAGCAGCAGAAGGCGGGAGGGTGGAGCACAAGGCCGGAAGTTTGGCAGAGGAAGCCTCTCCTCTCCTGCACTGCTAGTTAGAGATGCTGACTAATCCTACAAGAGAAGCAGCCTCTGATTAGATGCGAGGTCACACTGGGAGAGTCAAGGAAACACCTCTTTCCTGATAACTGCCTGCCTCCTGATTGCGGCCCTCTGGCGCCAAGGCTGTAAAGCTGAAGTCTGCAAAGGCCTGTCCAGGCTTCTCAGGACTGCCCCAAGGTCATGGAAAAGGATGCACTTAGGGTGAATCATGCTATATGCCAACCTCTCACCAACCAGACCTGTTGGGGGCACATGGATTGAGGGTGAGGTGCTAGAACCTGGCCCCTGGGTTCCAATTTTGGTTCCTCTACTTTCTCCCATATAACTCTGGAGAAATGACTTAAATCTCTATCTAAGTTTCTTCATCTGTAAAATGGCAAAATACAGTAGTAGTATCTACCTACTAGACTCTGGTGGAAGATAAAGGAGAAAATCCAGACAACATGTTAAAGCACACACAGACATAAAAAGTGCTCAATAAACAACAACTAGAAGTTACTATCATTATTTTTTTTTTTTTTTGCTACTATCACTATTACTAAATTATGGGAAGCTTAGGATGGTGCAACTGGCTGGCAGCAGAGTTGGATAGGAACTGGGTGCAGGGTTCTACAACTATGTGCTAGTGTAGCATGACTTTGCATCCAGACTCCCATTGGGCTGGGGGCCCGCATGAGCCCCAGGTGTACTCACTAGGTCCTGGTGTACAGTAGATGTTTACTGAATGAAGGAAGACAATGGAGTCAGAGCACGATGGCCAAGAAGACACAGGGAAAAGAAAGGAAGTAGGATGTATGGCGCCAAGGTGAAGATAGAGGGGATTTAAGCAGATAAAAGGCACAATGTCAACCTCCTGAAGTCACAGAAACAAAACCTCACAAGCCAGATTTTCACCCACCCCCAACCCCACTTTGCCACTTTGTTTCCTAAAAGAGGCCCCGCTACACTGACAGCCAAAACACATGACAAATAGGATCATCTGAGTCCATTAGCAGCCAGGTAAGAACCACCACACACACTGCCTCAGGCCGGTGGGCCTGAGCTGCTTATTCACTGTGGGTAGCTTCTGCAGAGGTGGAGCTGCCTCTCTGGCCGGCATGACCTGCAGCAACAGGAACTGGGGGACAGGTCTCCACATGGCCACGGCCATCTCCAGGTTTGTGTGCAGACACGAGCAAAACTACCCAGGTATCACAGCGTGGACAGGGGAAGAAGACACCTTAGGTTCCGGGATCACTGGCCTGTGAACCCAGACTGTGGCCACACAGGGCCTGGAGCCCACGACTGCATTAAAGAATACAAAAGAACTTGAACAGCTGACAGCATTGTCCCTGAGTAGAGGCTCGAGGGTGCCCGCTCCCAGTCTCCCCAGAGCTGGACCTCTAAATCCACAACTGTACTCACCACAAGGGAGAAGACAGATCCCAAGGCAACGCACTCAAGGCAGTCTCTCTGATTTGCTGTAACTGGGGGTGGCAGTGGAAACATCCTGAATTGTTTAGACGTAAGTAGACAGGGGAGCTCATGAGGAGAGAGGCGGGAGTGGAGGGAAGGAAGGGTATCTGTCTCCCGTCCTTCATTCCAAAGAGCCACTAAACACAGAAGCAGAGACTCCTACCCTCTGGGCCACCAGCTTTCTCTCCTTTAAAAACAATCCCTGCCAATCCCTGCCAAAAACAGGCCTGCTTTAGCCCTCTGCCCTCCTGCCTCTAGGCAGTGATGTCCAGCAACAGATAAGCCTGGGGTAGGGGTCTCAGTGGCCTTTCTCGTCTTCCAGTGAAGCAGTGCAAGAATGTCCCTTGCCCATGGAGGGGACCAAATCTTCAGTGAGCCCAGCTGTGTTGTCAGTAAACAGCTCACATGAATGATCCCAGACCCAGCAGATGCCCAAACACAGCCGTACCCAGGCTATTCCTCTCCCTCTGCTCCCACCTGGGCCACTGTGGGCCAGGAGAGACACAAACAGATAAGCACCAGGAAGTGTCAAGCCCTGGGGTATCCCTCTGCTCCCAGCCCAGAGCACAGGCCTCATCCAGGTGCAGCCTGTTGTGTATTTCACCTGCACCTGTTTATCAAACGGATGCCTCCTCAGTGGGCGGCCAGTGTGGCGTGGCCCGGCTCAGCTGGGGAAGGTGAACCAAGAGGACAGGCAAGGAATTGGTACCGCCAGAGTGTGCCGAGTGAGTCGTTGTGAGGCTGCTGGGGCCGGGGCCAGGAAGAAAGAACAATGCTGGTGCTGTTCAGCCCTCCTCACAGAAGACTCACATGTAATCTGTGCAGTGAAAGTAGGGGACAAAAGGGGGTGCTATGACCCTGCTCAGTCTCCCCTAACATCTCTGTGCCAAAGAGGGGG